CTGCTGCTGTTCTCAGGCTTTTGATTGGCTGGCCTGCGCAGCACACTGCAGTAGCTCTGGTCCTTTGGCTAAAGGGCACACAGACAAAGAGGCAGAGCCGATTATCTGTGTCTCATCCAGAGGCAGCACACAGCAGACGCCTATTGTAAGGCTTCAATGTGATGTTGGGGCCTTTTCACAGGAGCCACAAAAGACTTGAGATTATTGAGATTTCACTGATAGTATTGCCATTGTTACTGATATTAAGATGTTGCAGGGAGGGTGAAATATCTGTGCAATCAACCTGCAAAACAAAGCAACTGTTTTGCAGTTACACTTTACTAGGCTTGATAAGGAGCGTCTGATAAGGGAAAAACAGACTTGATGTACGTTAACTGATAGAAACAACTTTTTCTTCTTCACCTTTATCATACAGGTTGACTTTTGTTCCCAAGTCTGTTTTTACTTGTGGAATTAGGTGAAAGAATCAACCCCTCAAAACCATAGGAAAATACACATAAAGAGTGAGTGCTGGACTCCATGTTCAGTGCTTGTTTGAGGTAGGGATGGGTACGAGTACTCGAGTACTCGAGAACTCGTTGTTGACGTCATTATTAGAGTAGCATTTCACTTTTGTTTTTGGCTACAGTAGTTCTACTCACTTGGCGCTACATACGTACACCATGGCAGCCGTGACCAGGAAAAGTGATGTCTGGAAATATTATCCAAATATAATCCACTTGTGTTTCCAGTCGGACACGGACCTCCTGTATTTCTTTTTTTACGTAAAAAAAAAATAAAAAATACATATTATATATATATTGTATATATATTTTGCGAGTAATCGAATACTCGTTCATAAGGTAATGAGATTACTCGAATACTGAAATTACTCAAAATGCCCATCCCTAGTTTGAGGGATCCCGCCTTCACATTAAAGTAGCTGTTTATTCAGCTAATTTAACATGTTTTGCACTTAATTAATTAGATGTGCAGGAGCATTAACAAGAGAGAAATGTAGCATCTAATTCCAAACTTGGCCATCACAAACAATCTGATAGAGAATCTTTAAGTGCCAGCGTAATAAAAGAATAGACCTGAATGAAATATACAACAAATTGATAGATTAGAATGTTTGTGAAGGATCCAGAGTGAAATTCTATGGTTAAAACAAAACATTTGTACATTTTGTATTCATTTTCATCGATGTGTTGCAGCTTCGAAACTGGTGGTCTTTCATTGTAAAAACAAAAAAATGAAATTCAACAACAATGGCAGTGCCTAGAGTGATTGAGATAACACGGTGTAGCAACAGCATCATGGCAAAGGGCCATGCTCTCCTTTCCTCACATAAAACGGAAATTATTTCAGCTGGTTTGATCTTCCTCTATTTACATAATATCAGTGTGGTTCAGCAGCACGGGTGGGCACTTATCATTGATACTGCATTGTGTATTATTCTAATAATTAAAGGAAATAGCCGCCTGGTGAGCATGCTTCATTTGGAATGATTGAATGATTGGCACTTACCAAGCTAATATGGTTTGGGTGAGCACATAGACACAGTGAGGAGAGTAATGATGTCAGGGCCACGTCGCAGACTCTGCCTATGATAGAGTGACTCATTTCCTATTAGCGAGGCCTGATTCCACATGGCTTCCTTCTTGCATAACGCCTCGGCCCACGTCTGTGCCGCCACGCCACTCCAACTGACACCTCTTAACTAAACACACCAAATGGAATAGACATAAACCCTCACTCCTCATCAGCATTCACCAGGAAACACGGGCATCACCCTGCCCTGCTTTTCATGTAGAACAACAAAGACACCATTTGTACGCATCTAAAATGGTTGCTTAAGAAGAAATAGGATTTGCACATCGGACCAAATCGTGCTCTCGGAGATGTAATGGTGATTTGGTTAAGGATGGGTCTGCACTAGTTATTTTGCTTTGCTGCATGTAATGTGGTCTGTCGAGGAATTTAAGGTGATTTAACTGAACTACATTAATACTTCAGTGTCTCTGTAGGCAAATTGGCCTTGATCTTGTCTTTTATTCAAGTGTAAAACTCTACACTACACAACTCATGTGAGGTTCTTGTATTTTACTTGAGAACTTCTATTTCATGCTAGAGAGAAATGATCATTTTTATCTCACTACTCACTACTATTCCTGTTTTGCACTTATATGTTTTAGTTGTTTAGATGTTTTTTTTATTATCATTATTATTATTATTATTTGCAAGTCACTTTGCAGATTCAAATGTTCCATATTTTTCCTATAATAATAATAATACTAATAATACTACTACTACTACTAATAATATTAATAATAAACTTTATTTATAGCACTTTTGAAAACAGCAGTTACAAAGTGCTTCACAATTAGAAATAAAAATCCAAAAACCTCAACAACAAAAAACAATATAGTAAACTAAACAAAACCTCAAGACAGATAGAACCAACAGGAATAAACAACAATCTTATAAAAACACCAGCCTTTACAAGTGGATCTATAACAGTTTTTTAAAAAGTGCTACAGAATTAGCTGACCTAACAGTGAAGGGGCTTAAACAGCAAAGTACAGTCCCCCTTTGTTTTGAGCCTGCACTGTGGGACACTTAAGAGCAACTGGTCAGACGCTGTGAGTGATCTGAGAGTACAGTGATTGAAGTTCAAAAATACTTCAACGTATTATTATTATCATATTATTATCCCAGAGAAATTTGGTTTGCAGCAGGCATCATGAACACATCAAAGACATTAAAATACATTGGCAATGATAAACATCACATACGGAACGCAATGATTCCGGGAGTGGTCAGCTCAAGTAAAAACATTGCTACCACCTCGAACCAACAACATCAGAATGGTAAGCAGTACCAGATCAACCCAATTTATGCAGTAGGTTAGACATAAATACTGCATCAAGTCACATAAAATGTTGTGCAAGAAAGGCAGGTGAGCAGGACTAGGCCTAGCCTAGCAGATTGAGCTTGTCAATAGCAACAGGGATAAAGGAGACTCAAGCATGCCGTGTCTTTGTTTTTGGCATCCTAAAACGGCGTCCAGATGGAGGGAGGTCAAAGTCCTTGTAAAGTGGATGGTCAGGACAGTTGAGAATAAGTTGGGCCTTATTTATCACCCGCTTAAAATATATGTGCTGAAGCTGGGCTTGCTGCACCCCGATCACCTCACTAGCCAAGAAACCAAACTAAGCCACAAAATAATAAGTAAGAGCAGATTCATTAAAGCATTGATAGAACAAGAGGGTGCCATGCCATGGACAGCTTTGAATGCGATCAGGAGGATCTTTAAACTGAGTTCTGGCACGTACAAGAAGCCAGTGAAGTTGGGCCAGAATGGAGGTGATGTGCTCTCTTCGTTTAGTGTTTGTCAAGAGCCTGACTGCTGCGTTCTGAACAAATTGCAGTCGTGAAATTGCAGACTCACTTAAACAGGAAACTAAGGAGTTACAATAATTCAGATAAGGAGTGATAAAGGCATGGATGATTTGCTCTATGATGTTCTTAGGCAATGCTGAACTGATTTTAGCAATATTTCTGAGCTGCAAAAAACAAGATTAAACCGATTTCTCAATGTGATGGTCAAAAGTCAAACAAAGACAACACCAAGATTCCTCGCAGACGGCTTTGTATTCCCTGCTAAATGTCTGAAGTGTGGACTAATGTTCTGTGCATGGTTTGATCACATCTGATTGACAACGACCAAATTGAAACGCTGCTAAATCTTGATTAGCTGACGGAAGTGTGTGACTTCACCTTTTTCTAAATGAGCCCCGCCTCCTTCAAACCAGTGAGAGGAACGCACAGAAAAACACAAATACAGAAATGTCTCATGTAAGATAACTAAAACTCTCCAACACTGGTGTGTACTGATGTAGAAATCCATCACTTATAGTAAGAAGCTGATGAAGAAAATATGTTTTCAGTTTAATTTGGAGCGCTTTATACATATATACATATGAAAGTATGGGGTTTGAAACTGAGACATTGCGGCAGCAGCCAGAAGAGCTCACACATAAGCTGAATTGGACAGCTGGTAAGACAACACAAGTACAGAACTTCTACAATCCAGCGAAGAATGAAATTCACAACCCAATAAAAGACATTTTGAGGGATTCAGAGACCCATCTGCCTCTGGTGAGGACCCACAGCGAGATGAGACTTGTGTAGCGCTGGTATGGGGTCTGGTGTCAATTGCTTCCTACGCAGGACGGATAAGAAAAAATGTTCTGTAATATCAGTGAGTCCTGCGAGTGTGAGGGATAAGTTTTTGCTCAGGATGGCAGGGTAAGCTAAAAGCTACAGAGTCAATGTACACGGGATTTTCCCTCCACTCGGCTGACTGTGCAGCAGCAGCAGCAGCAGCAGCAGCAGCAGCAGCAGGACTACCCCAGATCAGCATTGTGCCGTGTTCTCAGAGGAGCTGCCCTGCTTCTACCTCTGAAAATAGCACAATAAGGAGGCCTGATTGAAGTAGTCTTGTATCACATCCTGCCATACCTCGGCTCTATACGCAAGAAGGCGCAGAAAGCAGCGCCAGTGTTCGGAGCACAGCGAAGGTTCAAATGATGGACAGCGCTGACAGGGGTAATGATGTGTAAATTACAAGCGGGTCGACACTGCAATGTTTTCCCCGGTGGTGAAAGAGCAAACTCATTTCATAAACACAATGATCGCTAAAATATTCATAACAAACAAGAAAATGGGGTCAGACTCCCTCCTCCTACCAGGCCATTACATTTCCTTTGTGTGTGTTAATTAAGTCAACAAATGACTTATAAGATCATAGTGCCACTACATCGCCTATAGATTCAGTCTTCAACATGTGCTCAGACAAATTAGAGGTTTTGTACAACAAAGACAGGAATTATAATAGTATGCAGTGAAGACAATTTGTATTGAGGCAGATAGAGCGCAGGGAGCGGTGATAAATTGCTCTAATAAAATACAAACAAAAGCCAATGAGAGAGATCAGACGAGGGAAGAAGACTTACAGCTCGGAGAGTTGGAGGTGCTGGAAGAGCTGCCATGACAGAGTGGTGAGAGGATTCTTTGACAAGTTTCTGCAGAGGAAAAAAACAAAAAACAAAGAGAAAGTTAAATTCAATTATTTTATGTCTCATCCTTGATGTTATGTCTGTTCCGTTTGTGTACCATTTTCTCAATTCTAGTTTGATGTACTTTCAGAAACACAATTACCAAATTGTTTTCAGGGGTCATTCTGGTGCTTTTTTTTCCCTCCTCCTTTTGAGGTGAAATACTTTTTTCGGTCACTTTGGGTTTTGTTTTTGTCTCAACACATCACTCTGTACCTCTATCTACAGTATTATGACGTATTTCAGCAAGTAAATTTTACTAAATAAAAGAACATGAATAGACAACTAGATATACAGGCCTGCATTAATAGCTGAAAATAAGGCAAAGTACTATTGACACGGAAAAGGAAACAGGCGTGTCTGTGTGGAGCTTCAGGGCTCAGCCAACTCAATAAAAGAAAGTTGACCGCTTTCGAGCCAAGTAATGCAGTTGACTTAAGGAACCCCTGCAGCTCAGGAAGCCTCTAAATTCAATAGCAAATATCCAGAGACTTACGAGTGATTTGACCAGAACCTTTAATCAGTTTAAATATGAACAACAGGCATCTGTCTATACAGTTATTAAGAAATACAGCATCTCTGTGCGGGCATTAACACAGCAGTTTGTCATAAAGTATGCTATCAAATCCAATTATCAGCCCCTGCTCCATCGATGTGCTGCATTACATCATGAGAGGAAAAAGAACAAGCAGCATTCAATCTCATCTGATGTTTCCTTTGATGTGAACAGTCGCTTAATGACTCACACATTTTTCATGTTTTTGTCACTTTGAACACAACACAGCTCACAGTGTGTATCCAGCCAATGACAGAGGATATAACATAATGTATATACAGGGGGACGAGACTGAATTTTGATGGAGACACTGGGTCAGTAGAAAAAGCAACAGAATACAGCAACTGAAAAACAAGATTTAAATATGAAATACAGCAAATTAAACACGACAGATAATTGTAGAAAACAATTTTTACAATATAATGTGGGATGTGTTAAAAATCGATGTTTCAGTGTTTTAAAGTAAGACCTTTTTTAAAGCATCAGACAAAAATGCAATTATAACACAGATCTTAAAATACAAAGGAGCGAATTGTGAACTTTTTTATGTATTTTTTTTACATTTCTAGTTGTGTACATTGAGTTCATACGCACACACAAATACTCCATAACAGGCCATTTGTATGGAAGACCTAATAGATGCTCCTGTAACCAGAAGTGTCACTATGGCAACAGGGAGCTATGGATGTTGCAGGACTTTCTATCCATCATGCACACATACAATGACATATGCACATACACACACATGCGCACACACACACGTGCACGCCCACACACACGCCCACACACACACACACACAAAGTTAGAACCCATAGTTTTAGTACATTTGCATCAAGTCACACACACACACTGGTTAAATACTGTCACCTTGAAATGTGTGCTAGTGTGATGCAGTGCTCTGAATACAGGGAATGTGTGTGAGAATATGTAAAGATGCTGCATGAAATTTCCCCTCCCAGAGAAAAGCTGTGGTCCCACAGGGCCTGTATTATACACTGAAAGAATGCATTACAGGGAGGGGGAGAGGGAGAGCAAGAGAGCGAAAAGGTGGGCGAGCAAACAGCAGCTCATTAGGTGATGTAGAGCAGGTCTGCTCAACATTTACGTCAAATCACACACACTCAAAATAGACACGCAGATCACACAGAGCACAGATCTCCAAATAGACACACGTCAAATGATGAAACCCTAAAATAGACACACGTCAGACCAAAGATCTCCAGATGTACATACGTTAGATCGCAGGACTTCAAAGAAACATTCAAATCGACACACATCGATTTTATATTTTATAACAAAAGAGTATATTTCTTAATTGCGCAGAATTCTTCAGACGGGATGGGATCATTTCTGGTGCGTGAATCACAAACATTAAACCCTGGGACCCTTTAGAGAGCCCTGGAGCCACCTTGAAGACTTTGAGGAACTGCCTCAAGGGTCCATGAACTATGGACCAAGAGCAGGCACCCAAACAGCAGCTGAGTAATAAATCTACTTGTAAAAACGACACAAGTAAATGTTACTGTAGTTCAATTAAAGGGCACCTTTTTGTTTTTTAAAAAAATGGAAGGTATACCATGCCTAGCATAACAAAAGTTATGCTAGTTCTACAAACTATAATGTGTATCCTACCCTACGAGTCAGTGTCCAATTTATGACAGTGTTTAATATGTGATAAAAAAAATGGTGAAAATCCCCTTTATCCAGTAATGTTACTACTTTGATGGTTTGTTGTGTGTTTGCTATCCAGCTAAGCAGAATCTATACTCACCAAACAGTAGTTAGAAAACAACAGAGAATACTAATAACACTGTTGAGGAGAAGAGAGGAGAGGAGAGGAGAGGACGAGTGTTTTCTGAGCACAGAGTGAGACCTCCTTCACGTCTCTGGCAGGAAGTGTTCTGTTTTCAAAGGTCATCCTTCGCATCTCGACAAGAAATGTCAGCTAAAATTGGATTTTGGTCGGAAGGGGGGGGGGTAAATGAATTAATAAATAAATAAACAAATCAACAAATAAGCCATCAAAGCTGACGGAATGCCAAAAGACAGGAGGTGAGGAGGGGGGCCAATGATTATTAAATTAAAAAATTAGCGGAGTAGAAAATTAATCTATTTATAAGCTAGGCAGCTCAGTTTCCAGAACTGGAAGGACATACTGTATACTGCCACCCGACAAGCACGCACACACACTTCCATTACTTTGACTGAAGTGTAAAACAGACACAGTGTCAGTATCCACACAACACTTATTCAGTCACCGAGCCACAAATCATCTCTGCTCCTCAGACGACGCTCATTTGAATATAGAATTATAATTATGTGATTCACATGAAATTTTCATCAGGTTGAGGTAAAAAAAAATATGCGTTACAGCGACGGATGTATCTAGGGTGTTAATATTGATGACAGCATAGGCTCCCCAGCCAGAGGGCGACGAAGTGGATGCTAAACTCAACCTGGGTATTTGCTCCTCTGCAGAGGAGGCACAACTCCTCCTCCCTCCTTCTTTAATAATTCTGTTTGGCACAGATGCCATTGGGAGGGCTTGGCTACTCGAGAGGGTTGGTTAATTAGTGCAGCATCTACTGTCTGAGTGTGGGGGAGCTCTGCACATTGACATTCAGGACCACGCAGAGGAGAACCAGACAGCCACTGAGCGAGATGTCGCAAATGATCAGCAGCTTGGACGTCATGAAATCTAGTCGTCATCTGTCAGGCTGAGGGGAAGCTGCTAATACCACAAACTAATTGCTTCTTTTTTTGTGTGTTCATTTTTGCAGCATTGTGTTACTTAAAAACAGATTTTTGTTTCCTTGAAATGTCACAGAGCCCTTTATGTTATGAGTAATGTCAATGACTGGAAGCTGCGAAAACACACCTCTCAAAAACAGAATGTCTAACTTTAAAATATCAGAGATGTCAATCTTAAAAGAAAGTTGTTTTCCCCCAGTCCTGCAAGGCTGACATTTTAGAGGAGGGAGGTTTTTTTCTGTACAGCAGCCATTTGCAGTTTATGAAATAATGTTGCATTAATAACATAACGGGAAAAGTAATGGGATCCAGGTCATCTTTTGTCTAGAGCATGACACTAACAATGCAACGTAAAAGGTAATTACAGTCAGCAATTACATAAAATGTAATATAATGTAAATGTAAAATACATAAAAAGCCAAACATTATAATGAAAATACACCTTCATTCTGCTTCTCTCTGTCACTGACTGTGGCAACACAAAAATGATTCAGCCTGCAGTCAAGTTCTCATTCAAGCTTGTATTCATCCAAACACCCAGGAAAACATCCTTTTGGAAACACTCTCCAAGAAGACTGAATGAATGTCAGCATGCAGTTCCAAAGATAAAATGTGCCATGCCAGGTATTATTCTGCAATTTCTACATTTATTATGTTGATGCAGTGCTTAAGACATCAAAGCCATAACCCCTTATCACCAAAGGTATTCCCAAAATAAATCGTTCCCCCTCATTTGCAAAGGTTGAACTTCCCATAACCCCAAGATCGTCCTTTAGCTGGAAGGTGACAAATAAAAAGTAAACTGCACAGTGAAGAATTCAGCTTTAAGCTGCTAATGATGTCTGCATGAGTCTACGCCACTGCAGCCTCCTGCGTGTCTCTGCCTGATAATGCTCAGAACGTATTTCATGCTTTTCATCCCAACCAGTGTAACTATGCATCTCATGGTCCATCGGTCCATCCCCTCTACAGCTGAAGCTGCATGCATCCTGCCTGAATGCACACAGTGATAGAGTACTGAATGTATATGGATATGCATATTCAGCCAGACCAACCATGCCTCCTTCACAGAATGAAAATGCAAATTTAAAATATCCTAGGCCTCTTAAGCCCCAGTCGGACAGAATTTATTTCTCCAGGGGAGGTGAGGTGATTTTAACATTACCTGCACTGGTCAGGGATTTTAATCTCTTACAGAGCATATATGACTAATTTTTCACTCCTACCACAGTGATAATTACAGCCGCAAATGCCTAATGTTTTTTCAGCCAACTTGCTACTCCTCCTGTAATTTATATTCTGTCCTTCTGTCCAGCACTTTGTGTTTTTGGCCTATACTTGTTTAAACTCTGTCAAACTACTACCATTAAAAGCATGCTGGATTAGCTATTAGCTATGTTTGCAACGTATCCATGGACGTACAGACAACCATATCACTCTGATACCAAAGCAAACTATGAATATGATAATTCTCAGACAAATTGTGAAGCATCTTTTCTTCCCTGATTTGTAATTCTTTTATTCTCACTGGACATCAGAGATAATATGTGTTTCATCTCTCCGCCGGCCCCTTGGCCTCCTCTTTGGGCATTGTCCTGTGGAATGTCTGTTTATTACAGGCCATATCATGTAATTGAGATGGTTAAAATGCCATCTGGA